AATTTTGGCCGTGAAACGCAAGCTAGCTAAGCCAACGACATGATCATATGCGAAGCTTTCCATCTTCAATATATATGACTTTAAAACGCATGTCAGTTGGACACCCACTGACAATACGATAAGATAAATTATCCGTAACGGCCCCGTATAAGTAGACGGAGTCCTCTGTATCAGCCAACACGATACCGATGTGTGCTTGCGAACAGTTTCATCCATAAAATATTTTTTTGTAATCTAAGGTATACGTTGGGCCTTAATAAACTTAAGGTAATTTTGCAAAGTGCGGCGGCCAAAAAAAGATTATTTGAGACTTAAGTTTCAGCCACTTCTTCTAAGTCATTAAATTGAATATCTAAGGGAGGGAGAATTCCCAGAAAATACATTAACGAGGGGAGGCTCGACGGAAATATCGAAATCTGCTCGTAAATTTCCACACTGGTTACAGTAATCGCCGTCAGACGGAATACCAATTATGAGTTAGATTGTGTCTCTTAGGACAGCTCAGGGAAGCAAGCATTAATTTGATGAAAGGCCCGTGGAAAAAAAAGTTTAAACAAACTTCCTAATGCAACTGCGATATTTTGCATAGATCATATTAGCATACTTTGCTGCATAAAAATCCCCGATAGCTTACAGAACTCACTTGTTCAATTCTGCTAGTACTTTAACACGAATCTTGTGTACACATTAGCAAAGGGAACTTTTAACCGGGAATGCAAATTACCGAACAAAATTCTTAATAAGAAAGAAGTCCTGTTTTGCGAGTTCTGTTCCTGAAAATTACCGAAGAGAAGTGAATTTTAAGGTCAACATCCAAGAGAAACGGAAATTTTTTGGGGTGATGTTGCTGTCACCAATAGGAAAAACCGCATAAATTCACGTATTTAAGAGCCCACAAAATAGTCAGTGATTTTGCATTCACTTCAAATTAAATAAAGGTGGAAATGTAAGTAGTCATATGCCTAAAAATGCACAAATAATTATTGCTGTGCCAATTTTATGCTGCTTCTGGTAGCCATATAGCGCACAAAATTAAGCAGACTTCTCGAAAATGAAAGCATACACACTTCCATCTCACAATAATAATTATCATATTCCATCATACTAAACAGACGGCGTTTGTTCAAACAAAATTGAAAGCCATTGTCCGCATCTCCGTGATTTGATTTTTTTGTAAACGGTATATTACAGCTATAATTTCTAAAAGGGTAGCCTATATTCTTACTAAGCAGACGCACAACATCTAAAATCTTACACAGCTAAAACCAATTTGTCTGCATGAACTGATAGACTGCGCAGATGACCATGACCTTGTTATCATCACCTATGATTTCCAAATCCCGAGAGAATTCGAAATGTCAGGCAAATAAAACTCTTGTTCCAGTGAGCGCATCTTCGTCTTCTGAACTGCTTCCTGGAACTCGCATCGTATCTACTATTAGTATTAGTATTATGCAGTCGTCTGGTGTGGGCGCTAACTGACAACTGCAATTTGCTTCAGTCCATGGTGGGCAAAATTATCCGCATGATAGCATAATTGCTAGTTGGCAGGTGCCATTTCCGT